TTGAAATCTAGTTATTTCTGCGCAAGATAAAACTTTGTGTCACTTTTATAGTCTTTTGGGATACATAAATCTGTAGCATTATTCTGATTGGTTCTTCAGCTTAAGTTTACGTATTATGGTTACAGTTACGGCAATTTGTGTGCGAAGGCCCTTACCCCTTGTCTACAATCTTGCTTTAATCTTTAAGCCGTAATAAATTGACTAACCACAGTCGATTAAAAAAAAAATTTTAAAAATAATCAACTGTGGTTGGTCAATTTCTTACGGCTTAAGAATTAAAACAAGGTTGTGGACAAGAGGTTAATTGGGATATTGCTTTAGGATTTTTCTAGCTAGAAGAAGACTGACGTGATAGTACAAGTAAAATTCAGTCTGAGGTAGGATTTTAGCCAGATAAATCTTAGTTATGCATACGCGATCAGGTTTACTGGAGGTTCTATCTTCTTCTAGAGCACACAAAACCAGAGCCACATCCTGTCCTTCAGCCAAGATTTACATTCTATGTCTATAGTTACGGCAATTCATGTATGCGAGAGTCCTGAGGGCGCGCGTCAAGGAACTCGCGGGAAAAGCACTCGATGAGAGCACAGCTCGCGAAGGTTGACCACCTCTGCGACGCGTTGTATCCACGTGCGATGAGAAGCGGAGGAAGCGAGCGATCGATACGACATATAGGGTGTGTCTGAAAGAGCTCGGACGAGGCCTGGCGCTGGAGGCCTCTCTCGCGCGAAGGATGTTGGACGTTTCCAGGATCGATGAAGCCGCGAAGAATGCTCGGCAAGCGGCCGTGAGGGACGGCTTGCTTGCCAAAAGTTCCATAAATCGATGAACGGGCGATTCGTGGGCGTGCTCAGGCGCCCACTTCTGGCACGTCTCGGAGAAGCTCGTCGACGTCGGCTAGCAGCAGCGAGTTTATCGCGTTCATCAGTCACGCACGTGTCACGTTTTCTGTCACCGATGTAGTATACAAACAAAGAGGTTTCGCGAGGTAAAACGATATCCGTGCATCCTTTTCAGGGTCGAGAGATAACGTATACATTGCGATAGGTTGGTAGCGAGAGGAGAAAGGGTTATATTCTCCGCGTCGATATTTGGGTGTTGCGTGCTGACGACGTTATCACGCACGCCGGCGATGGGCTGAAGTTAAGGTCGGGATTCTTCCACTCGGTGGATATAGGGGAACGGCTTTCGCGAGATATTCGTGTCGAATATGTATGTTGATTAATGCGGGACTGTGACAGCGAATAATAGGTCGCGTGAGATGCGAAACATGGGCTCAGGGGTGAAGCTTTACTCTCTGGCCGCGCACAAGCCGGCTTCTCAGGATAAGGAATCCGTGATGGTGGTGTTCCAAAATTATCTTCGGGTTATTCCGGGCATTTCGAGACGGGGGAAGCGAGTATTCTCGCATTCGCTCATTATCGCTTTATCGTTGGAACTTCCTCGGGTCTCGTGCTCGGAATAAGGCGAACAGTGTAAATTAATTGATTGTTAAACTCATTCATTGTTAAACGAATTGAGATTAGTCAATTGTTATCACCACGTATGTACGCATTATATTTGTCGCGAGAAGTTAGAAGTGTACCGAGGTGCAAAAATAATGTGCTCTTTCAAATATGGACTGTTGGAGCAAGATCGGAAATCGTTGAAAGAAAACATCTGAAAGAAAAAGCTAATTGGCGGCTTTTCTACTACTAACATATTCATCTAAATCTAAATTATTTTATTTAAGTAGAATAAACAATTCATGAGAAGCTAATTCAAGTCGAAATTTTGGATCTATGTTAAACTTTGTTAAACTTTGAATTCTACAACGCAATAAGAGTTAAGTTAGCAAAGTAGTTTTAATTCTAATGATATAATTTACTCCTATTTTGACCTGATGATGTCAGAAATTTCCTTTTTCCTTTTTCTTAGTGTCAAAATAGGTCGTATTGTAGGCTTCAGAATATCAAAATAAATGTTGAGTGGAATAGCGAAGTTGAAAGTATAATCAAAATTTCGATAGGTTTTAAGAGAATGTATATACCTTCTTGAAAAATATTCTGTGTTAGTACAAGCAAATATGTTATTCGTGTCCGCCGAATAAATATTTATTATTTCTTAGATATATTTTTCTGTCAGTGTAGGTGAGAAGATGCTCCGCGACGTCATTTTTGAACTGTAATAGCTAAAGTTACTCGCTATTAAGACGAAAATAATAAAATCGCTGCAGCTGGTGTTTTAGGAGTAATTGAAATGTCTTTATAGTTCTTTATTAAGACAAACAGTTATCCGTCCAAGAATTTGCTACTTCTTAGAAGTACAGTTTAATTAACGTGCCGTGTTTTACACCTGTTCTCCAACAGACGAATGGATTTGATTTGCACAATTCGCGCACATTAAACCAAATCAGCAATTAAGCTGAACGAGCAAAATCCCGACCAAGTGTCGCTCTCAAAAGGATACATTCCATCACGGCGGTGAAAACGCGGTCGTTTTAAAGTGCATAAAGAATGCATGTTGGTAACGCGTTACTTTAACCTGCTCGGTCTCGTTTCGAGACCCGTTCCACGGCAAAGCGGCGAGAAAGAGTGGGAACCGAGCAGTAGTAAAAAGAAAGACGGACTATACGTGTGTGGAAGAACGTTACATATCAGGAGTGGATTTATTTATGGGAGCATTGGACACTCGGGGCGAGACCGGCGCATATATATGGGGTGTCTCTGGAAAAAAACACGCTTGGTGTATCCCGATTTTGGGATGTGCGTGGGACAATTTCGGGATTTAGTCCTCTCTCTTCGACTCTCTTCGTTCCTCGTTTGCTGTCACGTTCGTCTCTCTCCCAGTTAAAAGTTTTCTCGAGTTAAAATATAAGTGTTGAATATAGAATTATATAGAACTCCCGAATTATTCAATTTCGAGAACCTTCGCGTACTATTTTTGTGTTAATAGAAATTGATAACAGCGTCGTAATTGGAATAAATCTTCATTCAACAGCAATGTTATTGAAACCAATATTTAAGTCATCGAGATAACGTATGATGTATTGGATGTATAATATTGCTATTGAATCGAGAAGATTTACTACAATTACGACGATGTTAGCAATTTATATTGATACAACAATATTTTTTTCATGTCAAGGGGCCACGATAAAATGTTACCTCAAGGGAAGGTTCGTATTAAATATCATTCTTCAAATTTTGGAAAAAGTCGCGGAGAAAAAAGTTAGATTGGATTGAGCAAATTTTTGGCAAAATATGAGCGAGCCAAAAATTTCGGTTGAAGTTATCAGAATTCTGTCCAAGTCAACAAGACTTCCGGGTTAACTTAAACTGAATTCTGATAATATCAACTGGAATTTTCTGGCTCGTTCAGATTTCACTGAAAATTGACTAAATTTCTCTTTTCGTGCAAGTATAACGTGGAAATGGTTAAATTAAATTTTTATTAATTTCACGAGTTTTTATTAATTTCTCTCGCTGAAATTTATTTGTAATTTTTTTTTACTTGTAATTTTACGTGTGCGTTTCGGCGACAGTCAGCGCGCAAATCACACAGATTAGATTCACGTCATTCTGCGTGCAATATTTTCGCACTTTCTTAAAATCGAAATGAAAACTACGCACATACTCGTATCTTAAATTCCCATGTGTCATCGTATATATATCTTCATACTCTTTCTTTCTCTTTTTCTCTAATTAATCTGTCAAGGCTAAGAATACGTGTTTGCACCTTTTGAACCTTCTGCAAATTTCTCCGATTTTTCGACGGCAAATCAACTCTTCGCCGGCAACTCATTGTGGAATACTTTCGGCTATTTCGGGACGACGATATTTCGGCTCGAGGAAACTTCCTTCTTATATACAAAACTTCGGTGCGGATCGAACTTCCTCGCGACGAAATACGCGATACCTCGGAAAAGCTCGGTACGCGTCCCGGCACGCGCGAGTCCACGTCTCCTCGTTCGCTTCGACGGTCGACGTGGCGTATGAAATCCCCTCTTACCGTGTAATAAGGAGCACCTCGAAGCGCGTGTCGTTCCGAAAATGCGTGCTTCTCCTTCTTCGCCGGCCGGCAGGTCCGCAAAGAAAGAAAAGAAACGGGGAACCAGTTTGCTTCCTCCCTTGCTCCCTCTCTCTCTCCAGCGATTATCGATCAGCGGAAATTATATTGTCAATTGTATCGATCGTATCGCTGCGTGGACCCTTTTCTCAAACACTCTCAAACGAGAATCCAAGGTGCCAAGGTACCGCAGAGTGTGTTCACCTGCTGGCGCGCGCGTTACACGTCCACAATTTTGTTTCTCTTCTCTTTTTTGCCGACTCACACGTCGACACGAGCTTTTCGAATCTTCGATCTCGCGTGGAAAGCGGAACCGGCAAGCGTCTTTTCCTGCTTCAAAAGCACCCTCACGCAGAGTCGTCCGAAAGCAGAAGGGCGTTTCGAGTCTTGAATAACGACCTCTCTCTCTCTCTCTCTCTCTCTC